GGCCGCACATGTGCTTAAGTCACCAACAAAGCGGGAGCTCCCATGGAGTGAGAGAAAAGGTCAGTTTCGATGAGAGCATCCAGGATTTTGCCATCAAAAGAAGTCATACAAAAGCGATTTTAATTTTCATTTCCAAGACAAAACTTAGACAGGGTCTGTGGGGGGCATCATTGTGTTTTAGGCCATCTTTTGGGTTTCTGAAGGATTTGCACAGACTCACAGGTGCAACAATCTCCTGGGCTCACTTGTTTACCCAGCCCTGAGCGGGTGTGTGTGTGTGTGTGTGTGTGTGTGTGTGTGTGCGCGCGCACGCGTGCATCTGCCTGCTCAAGTAGCTCCCTGCCGGATCCTTGGATGTGAGGAGAGAGTAGGGAGAAGTTCCAGAGACTCCGGATGTTTGTCCTCTGGCTTCCTGGGCCCTCCAAAGGCAAATAACTTTGGATGCCAGGCTGCTTCCCCAGGCGGGTGGGTGGGGTGGTGGGTGTGTGAGAAGCCTGCCCCTGCCTCTGGAGCCTGGCTGATGGAGGCCCTGCAGAATGATGCAGCATGACTGGGGCCCATGGCCAGCTCTGGTGGCCTCATGGGCCCATCACCTCCCCTCCCCGTGGCTCAGTTCCCTCATCTAGAAAATGGAGGCACTGAGGAGGTGAGACCGGATGGACTCTCTGGAGACTGAAATTGAAAGTCATTCCAAGCCTAAGGTGCAGAAGAGAAAACCAAAGCTGGGGTGGGCAGGGGAAGAGGTCAATAGGGTGCAGATTTCAGGGCACAGTGCAGGACCCAGAGCATGCAGTGTCTTTCCACCAATGTCCCCTTCCCTAGAGAAGGGCTGTGCCTCAGTGCCACCCTCTGCTCAGGGCCCCTGTGGCTCAGACCCTTGCTGATTTGCCCAGGAACAGTGCAGGGAGGCGAAAACTGGAGGACAGCACCAGGGGAGCAGAACAGCACAGCAGGGACAGGGCGCTAGAGCAGGTGGACTAGGGCCAGGCCTGGAAGGGCAGGAAGGGAGAAGAGAGGAGATCCCAGTGCAGGAGATGGAAATGGAGGAGCCAAGGCCTGGAGTTGGGAGGAACAAAGAGGCGGGAGGAGTAAGGCTGGAGAGTTGGGAAGAGGCTAGAGCACGGGAACCTGGATCATGGGAGTCACAGGAACAGCAGTAGCGCTGTCAAGGTGCTTAGAGCTTTACACACAGCTCCAACAAGGCCTGGGTGCTGAGAGCCTGTCCCCGGGCCCAGGAGCCATGGCAATTGTATGCGAGGGAGGGATACAGCCAGATTGATGTTTTTTGACAGTGGAGAGTGGGGGGCAACTCATAGAGTTTTCCACTCTGGAGCACAGAGTGGATGGGAGCCCAGAGGCAGGGGCACGCCTGCGATGAACCCTGCCCAGAAGAGCCTCACTCCAACCCCCAGTACAGAGGGCTATTCTTAGGAACAGTAAAAGTGCTCACACATTCCTGCAGGGGCAGGGATAAGGGGGTGGCCAGGAGTCAGTGTGGAGGGAAAGGGCGGACCCCACTTCTTCCAGCTCTGGCTTTGTCTTCAGGGTCTTCCCCTCAGGGTGGGGGAGGCCACATGACCTTCGCCATGTGACCCTCCCCAGCCCCTGTCCCCAGGGTCCCCTCTTCACTCTTGTCTGTCCCTCTGCCTCTGAATTGGTCCTTGTCTGTCGGAGTCTCTTTCTCATACTTCCCCTCCTTCCTGCTCCCCCCCGGGATTTGGGAAACAGCTGAGATGGGCCAGGCCCTGAAGATAGAGCCAAATACAGTCATGGGACCAAGCACTGAGGCAGTGGGAGAGACACATACCACAGAACAGACAGCAAGAGGGACAGACATGGAGAACCCAAGGAGACAGAAACAGAAACAGAGAACTCAGAACAGAGTCAGGGACAGCCAAGCTCGCCAAGGCCTTTCTCCAGGGCACAGACTACCTGGCAGCCCCACCCTCTACCCCTGCCTTCTTCCTTGCACACCTTTGGGGACGGGGAGCTCACCCCTCCTTATGGCTTAGGCTTGTCTTTGTGGTATGACTGACTCACAGCATGCTTACAGCTGCCTCCTTATGACTGCCCACTGTGCCTAACTCTGCCCACATGGACCCCTGGCCAGGAGTCTAGAACAGTAGAGGCATCAGGTGACCAAGATGATTGGGACAGCAGTGATGAAGGGTATGCTAGTGATGGCATGGAGGGGAATGTGGGCAATTGGGATGGAGGCATTATTGGCTCTGCCACTGCCTTGTGGAGGCATCTGAAGGTGGGGAGGGTTCAGGAGGAGCCCTGAGCCTGTCTTGGTCCCTTGGCTTGAGGTCTGCCTCCCGGGGCCATTTCCCCTATCCCCATACCCAGCTCTTGCCTCCCTCCCTCTGTTCCCTTAACCCCTCCTTTCCTGACCCCAGGCTATGCTAGGGACAGAGGATACCAGTGAGTCAGCTTTCAGAGACCTGAGTGTTCACACAATTCCTTCCTTCTCTCCCCAGCTCCTTTCCCCTTCTCATCTCTCACCCCCCCCCCAAACATAGCCTTTGGGGATCCAGGGGGCCTGGGACAATCAGGAGGCTATTTTGGAGGAGGCAGAAGCTAAAGTAGAAGCTGAGACTGGCTTAGAAAGGGTGAGGGACCTGGGAAGAGCTCCTTGTGACTACTGGAGGGGACACTGGGGGGGCGGCATCAGGACTGGGCTCAGGTGTATTCTACAGTGCACGTGTCTCCAGTGTGGCTCAGAGGCTGGAGACGCGGCCCTGTTGGAGTAACAACTGAAGCTGGAGTCTGCGAAGGGTGGGAGGAGGGAGAAGGACAGGGCCAGGGGAGGGGAAATAGAGGAGGCAGGGGAGGAAGAGAGGGACAGGGGAGGAGGGGGAGGGCAGGCCCTTCCATTAGGGCTGGCTCCTCAGCTCTAAGTGGCCCCTTCCATATGCCCAGGTCCCGAGTGGGGCCTCACCGTCCCACCAAATGGCCCCAGTGTCTTGTCTCACTCTCTCCTGTCAGCACCCTCCTCTGGGACCTTCCCTGAGAGGGCTCCCTCATGGACTTGCTGCCAGAGAATGGACATTCGCACCTCGCTCACCTTTAACCTCCCCACCTATAGTGGGGTGGTCAAACAGACCCCTGCCAGGGTTTGTAGGAGGATTAGAGACAGCTCCTGTTCCTGGGCCTTAAACTGTGGTCTCCAGGCCAGCAGCATCAGCAGCATTTAAGAATGTTTTGGAAATGGAAATTCTTGGCCTCATCCCAGACCCACTGTATTGGAGACTCTAGAGGTGGGCCTGGCAATCTACATGTTAATGAACCCTTCAGAGGATTCACATTCAAGTTTGAGGACCACTGGTGGACACTTCTAGCACACAGTGGGCACTTGAGAAAGGTGCCTTCCCTTTCCCGAAGCCATGTAAGCAGGGCACTGACATTTGAGCTTGTCCAGCTGTGGCCTGGATCTATCCCCTTGTGGTTCCTTCAGGTCCAGTCTCTGAGGCTCACCAAGCCTCTCTCCTCTATTATCTTGCTGCTGGCCCAGCTCAGCCTTGCTGAGGGGAAGTCTGGAGCTATAATAGCTTAGTACTCCCGGGCAGCTCTTCTCTGAGTATTTAAGGCACTGTGTCTGTTAGCAAGCTCCTTGGGCAGGTGGCAGACGTGGGTGGCAGGAGGGGAGGGGCTGCCTCTCCTACTTCCTTGTAGAGCCTCCAAGTCTACAGAGCTAGCTAGGCATGCTGCGATGGCTGTGAAAGTCACAGAATAAGCTTGGGGTGCTTAGGCTCAGGCTGGGGTCCAAAGCTCAACCAAAGGGGGCTACTCAGCCTGGGTCCCCAGGAGGCCTCCTCTGGGGGAGTTCTGCCAGTCACCCAGATGGAGCTGCTGGGCACAGAGACAGCTTTGCTCCTTTGTCTTTGGAGACTCTGTTCTCTGGGAAGGTAAGAGACTGTGTATATTGCCCATCAGAAAGGGAGGCAGGAAGCCAAAGAGTGTAGATGGCATCTGCCTTGGCACCCCTGATTTCTCCTAACAGGGCTACCTTCCTGGAGCTCCCCCATTCTATGGATGCTCATCTTGGGTCAGGTAGTTTCTCCCCAAGTTCTCAAGGTGTCTACTTCGAAGTTTGAGGAAGGAGTGGGCAGGACAGACAGGAGTGGGGAGGGGCAGGAGTGTGCAGGATGGAGATGACAGGAGAAACCATGAGAGAAGAGAGGATTTGGAGGTGGAAAAAGACATCAAGACTCTTGGAGATGAGACAGGAGAGCAGCCTGGGAAAGAGATGGAAGTCACCTGAGGGAGACAGAGAGAAGAGAGAGATCCACTCAGAGATTGGAGAGACAAAGTCTGAGCAAGACACACACAGCCCCAGAGAGAAGGAAAGAGAATTAGAGAGGGAGAGGGGCTCCAAGGTCCTAGAGGATCTTGAAGGAGCCCCCCTCCTTTAGAGAAGAGGACACCAAAGCCTGGAGAAGAAGGGTCCCCACCCTCAGGCCACACAGGGGACCTAGCATAAGCAGAGTTGGAAGAATCAGTATGTATGACCTGTCTCAGTAACACAACTTGCATCTTGAGAGGTGCATAACTATTGGGTTAGATGTTATTTTGATGTTTGATTTTCTTCTAGGCCACCATCAGGAGCATTGTGAGGCTTCCTTCAAGAGAGGGAGGGGTGGTTCTAGGCTGCAGGGAGAGCAATAGGTAGTTTATGGAGGTAGGAAAGACATAGAAACTCATGGAAACAAGACAGGGGAGCAGGTTGTGACAGTGACACTCACCCTCAAGAAGGGTATTAGTCCCTGTGCTGGTGGCATCAGAAGGCATAAGGCCAAGGTCTTTGGCTTCATATAATCTTAGGCATTAAGGAGTTAGAAGTAATTTAGTCCAGGCCCTCTCCCCTGCCCACGCAAGTGGAGAAATGCTGATCCAGCCTCAATGCTGGCTCCAGAGAAACTCTGACTCCTCTGGAACAGAACAGGCTCCCTTTCTTAGCACCTGGGGTGAAAGACTAGTGAGGGGGAGTGCCACTGTCTATGGTGCTGAGTGGCCCTACCTCCAACCACAGAGCTACAGGTAGGGAGCTGGGGAAAGCAGGAAGTCTCCATCCATCCATCCCTCCATTTGCATTGAATTAAAACAAAAAAACCATAGGACTATATGTTGCAAAGCTGGAAGGACTCCTTTTTACTAATGAGGAACCCAAGGCTCAGAAGAGGAAAGGGGCCTTCTGAGGCCACACAGAGCTTCTGTATTCCATCTGGGACAGGACTGGAAATTACTGCTTTTTTTCTCCACACCACAAATTCTCCCCTGTGGTCTGGGAAATTGCCTGGTTGTTATGCTGACATTTATACTGATGTTTGTTCAAAAAAGCTTGGAAGGCAGGAAATGTGACCTCCTTCACCCCACCCTGAGCCTGGGCTGTGTGTGTTTGCGCGCGTGCTCACGAGTGTGTGCACATGCCTAAGTGCCTATTTGTGTGTGCATTGTATATAAGGTTGCATTTCTATTCATGTGTGCATGTTTGTGTGAGGGTGTGTGATATATGTTGGGCAGTCGTGTGTGCATGGCCATATGTATATGTGTGATGCGTGTTGACGTTCATGGCTCTATCTGAACTTTCCCTGTCTTCTTTTGCTGAAGCTCTAGCCCTTCACTTGAGCCTTGTTAGTCTCCCACCTGTGCCCCCCATTGGAGAATTTCCCCACGTCCTATGCTCAGCTGCTGCAGCCACTCTGCTCTCTGAACCCCAACCTCATAGGCTTTAGAATCTGAGCTATTTCCTCCTTGAGATGATGCAGTGCAGGTGCTGTTGCTTTAAGATCTGTGGAAGGTTCAAAGAGGAGGTGGCACTTGGGCAAGTCTTGAAGAACTCTTTGAGGGCAAGGGTGAAGTGGTCCTTCCCAGCTGCAGTTCCTGCAACCAACACCCCCCCACACACACACTCCTGGGGTGGGCAGGGCCAGGAAGTGTATGGACAGAAGGATGCCAGGCAGAGGGCCCCAGACTTCACCGGCCTGTCTCCCTCCAGCCCACTCTAGCTGGATATCACGCCCCCTACCAGCTGCTGCCCCAACTCTCCCCAAGTTTCCTATCGTATTCCCCCATCCTTGCCATTAATCCTGCCCTTAGCCTGAAGTCACAGAAAACTGACCAATCAGAACAAAGGCCAGACAAGCACCCACCAATTCTAGTAAAGGACAGGGCAGGCATCCCCCAATCCAAAGAAAGGGCAGGTCCAGGAGCCCACCAATCAGAACAAAGGACAGTCTATTCTCTCTAAGCCCCTCAGGTGCAGAGCAGGAGCCAAACAGGGCCTGGAGATCTAGAGTCTTGGGTTCTGGACTCGGCTCTGCTTTGACTGACTGGCTGACCACAGATGGGGCATTGCTTCTCTTTGAGCCTCAGTTTCTTCATCTGTCAAAAGGGAACATTTAGCTGTCCCAAGCCTATGGCTTTGAAAAATTTCTCCCCCTACATCAGGGCCTATATTCCATCACCTTGTCCCCTCTCCTCCAACTTCCACAGCACACACATATCAAACTGCAGGGAAGGGCCCCTCAGCGCTCAGCTTGTTCACCCCCTGTCTCCAGCTAGGAGCAGACCTAAACCAGTACCACCTTCTAGGACTCTCCCTTAGGAGCCCCAATCTGAGGACCATGGGTTGGCAGATGTTATTTCAAGAGTATATCAGCTCCTCCTCCCCTGTTTAGTCTGCAGAATTGACCTCTAAAGGCCACAATAGCCTACATGTATATGATGCGAGCACGTGTTTCTGAGCCCTCGCCCTGTGACTCGGTGAGGAAAAAGCTGCATCCTCATGAGCCTGTGTGTGTACAGGGAGGCTGTCTGAAGGCACGCTGGGGGATTTCTGCGAAGGTGTGAAGGCCTGTGGCTGTGCCACCAGGTATGCTGGTGCTCAGGGTGTGTGCCTTGTGATGAGGAGCGCCTAGGGAAAATCCATCCAATTTGGGAGATGTATTGTTTGGAAGCAGCAGCTTTTGTTGTCCAAGGGCAGAGGCATATCTCGATGATCAAAATGTGTCTTCATCCTTGAACAGTGGGAGGGATCAAAGGGAGCTGGGGGTTGGGGAAAGCAATGCCAAGTGAGCATGGGTGGGGGGGCACTGCTCCCCCCTCCTGGGAACACAGCACTGAGAGGGAGTAGGGTAGGGAGGAAACTGAAGTCAAGAAGATGCAAGGATGAAATCTGGAGCTGAAGTCTCGACCCCAATGCAGGACTGCTCTCTGTAGCCTCTGAAAAATGAGCATTTAGCCCACTGTTGCACACCCTCAGGGATGGGGAGCTCACTTCCTCCTTCTCTCCTGGTAGCCTCTCCCTATGTAGTATGGCTTTGCCTGGAAGAAGGTCCTTCATCCCACTGGGCCAAGAACAGCCTTCTGTGAAATCTTATGGGTCTCAAGGCTGTCCCTGGGGAACAGAGAGTCCAGCCCCCCCCCCCCCCC